ATTGTATGCAACTAATATTGTCTTGGTAGTCTAAGAACACGTTTTGGGCAATCAGTCGCAGTCCATTCTTCGGCAACTACGGTGCAAGGCCGATACTGTAGAAACTTGCATTTTGACCTGACCTGACTGACCTCTGAACTACTTAAGCAAAAAAATTTGGACTCTTAAGATCCGCCTTGTTGAGAGCTTTCGATTGCCGTTTTCCCGTCTTTCTACGACCATCGGTTCGGAAGTTAGACAGGGGGGGCAGAATCTGCCCCCCCCCCCCAGCAGGGCGCGTATGGCTGAATAGCCCAGCGGGGCGCGGGTTAACAACTCTCTTATCCCGATGACTATCTCCATGTCTTAGATAACTGTGTAACATCTCCTTTATCCCTCCCCAGCACGAGCGCAGTCCCGGTCTGCCTCTGCTCATCATCGGCGCCATGTCTCTGCTCGGCGGCGCTCTCACCACGCTCCTTCCGGAGACCGCCGGGGCGAACCTGCCGCAGACGCTGCTGGACGGAGACCTGCTGGGGAGGGGCGGCTGTGGTCCGACGCGCTGCCGCTCTGGGGGTGCCTCCGGCGGCGGAGAGGAGCGGCATGAAAGGAAGCAGGCGGAGGCGCTCGCCGCATGATGGAGGAAGAGAGGAAGAGTTGGATAGTGTTGGATGAAGGCGGAGGAAGAGACGATCGATAGTGTGCTTTTGTGTCGTGTCATGTTACCGTAAATGAATTGTTTATTTACGAATGTGTCATGGTATTGCCTTGAGAATAGGAACCGGTACCGGATCTGACTCTTAGGGGCAGCCGCAGACCTTGCTGGTAGCACTAAGCACTAAGCTTAGAATTCATGTGTACGTATATAATGACATTATGCGAAGTTAATTCGTCGAAAAGCACTACTTTGAACCTCACGAGTTCTACCGTAAGCTTTTATTTACCCGTAAGCTTTTGATTTTATCCATGCTGGTGACCACTTTTGTCGTTTTATACCAATGTCATCGTGACTGCAATACTGTCGGCGTGACAGCGGAATTTTGACACTGTCGGTGCATTTGCCATTTTGGCTTGTCATGAATGTATGCTTGTCGGAAGCAGGTTGGAAGGATTGAGGCAGGACTTTATCTGGACTGAAACATAGTGGCAGTGCACTGCTTACCAATTTTTGTCAGAAAAGCTGTGAAACGGTCGGTGCCGGTGAGTTTGTGTAATTGTAGCATTGTCATTGCTTGTTTGTCTGTTTGAATGCATCATTTTCTGTATCCGCTTGTATGATAAGCCGTTTATTGATTGGAACAATCGGAGAGACAACAGCGCTAAGGAATGCACGAATTTATACGTTCGAACAATGCCTGACGTTCTCATGCTACTCCTAAACATGATTGGTCGTTTTAGCTGCATACATGTGACTGCTTCTGTAGGGTGATAGGTTGTTATGCGTGTATGTGCTGTATTTGTATCACGTTGTTGGAATGTGCTATGCAGTGACATTGACTTACGCCGTCTGCTGCGGCTCCAAAGCCAAGCCAGCGTGGAATTGGGAGAGCTCGGTCACCCGCAGCTGGTAGCTTAGTATATTAGCTTATTATGGTACTGGCATTATATGAATATCAGAATTTCATAAATGTGTTTACGCTTTAGGTTCATGTGAGTGGTAAACCCTTAAATAAAATAGATTAATGTAATATTTAGTAGAAACATCAAAGTAGCGGGCCACTTATTCGAAAAGTAGAAAAACTGATACAAAGAACTACCAAATTTCCTGAGGTATCTATCAAAGGAAACTACTAAAATTCCTGAGGTATCAAAGGACCAAATAGGCTCCTATTAGGTACCCACTATTCCGTCGTGAAAACGGCTAATAGGATTTACTAGGCTAACTTGTGTACCCTGCATCCTGCATTTTTTGCCCGTCGACATGTCAATTCTAGGGACTGTGTGGTGTCAGGGATCAGAACACAGACACCAAGTTAGCACTATGAGTCCTGCAGGTGACATTTCGAAACTTGAGACGTCTTGCAGCGTGCACGCTCGGATTGACATGGCATCAGTTGTTTTGAGACGTCTCCGACGGCAAAACATCTATAGGGGAATGGGATGGGGGTGTTGCAAGTTCAGTTTATGCCCCCGGATCAGCTATCGGGGCAGCTCAATGGAACTGAAACAAGAACTGAAAAGAACTGAAACAGCCGAGTGGTGGACAAGGAGTGGGTAGGAAGTGGAGGGTGAATTGACCTAGCATATGAATCTCTGCTGAAAATATGCACACTGAGGACCCTCCTCACTGTGCTACCCATACCCGCCAGTGGATCGCCGCGTGCTCAATACTGCATAATGATCGGCACGGGTTCACTCGGCGCCAGCCTCGAGTCCATGCACACCTGCAGCAGGACCACGTAATGGGAAAGATGAGCGTCAACGGAACGAACAGCGTATGCTGAAGTTCTTGTGTCCTGTGCCTGCCTTTGATTGCCGGTTAGTTCAACGTTCTGATCAGGAGTTAGATGGGGAGGGGCAGAACCTCTCCATGGTCTGACAATGCAGTATGCAGGTGTTCGACTGAATGTCCCAGTGGAGTGTGGTTCTTATCAGTCGTTTCATTCTAATAGCCCGCTCTGAATACGATGCGGCTGTTGGTTACGTTATGTTATAAACAGTGATAGAAGACATATATGATTTAAAGTACTTACAATCTACGTACTTTAGCTGCATGCCACGAGCCATGTAAGAAGCAGGATGTGTAAATCGAAACATACCTATCTGATATCTCTACTCAGTCGTTTCTAACTGAGCCCAACAGAAAGGACTATAGTTCAGTCAACATGTGCGCTGGCCAGGCTTTTATGTTTTAAAACCAAAAAATTTTGGTTGGTGTTCACGTTCACGTACAAGGATGAACTAAGGCAGGTCGCACACAAAACATCATGAAAAACTCACACGATCAATAGAACGTCAAATATTGAAAAGTTCTTGTGATACTTTGATTTATACATCTTTGTCTATATCAATATAAGTACCTCATCATGTTCCTCTGTGTCCTCGCGCAGTGTGTGACCTCGGTATCATGAGCTCGTGACCTCGGTGCCATGACCCCGGCGCGCCTCAGTTGCTGCGCACCGTGACGCTGCACTAGTGACTGCCGGTGTTACGGGCGTCTGACAGCTGTCAGGTAGAGGAGGACCTAGCCTGTCACCAACCGGAGTCGTCAGCCATTAGCTACCCGCCCACCCAACACACGGGCACGAGGAACTCACGTGAAAAGCACGACCGTCAACGTGATGAGCGGGTGGCTTTTTGAAAGCGTGATGAAAAAGAAAAGAAGCCTGATGATAATAACACGGAACAAAAATGATAGACGAACGCTCCTTTTAGACGCTGATGACGGTGATTTAGCCGAAACGCGTTCGTCTATCATTTTTGTTCCGTGTTATTATGCTTGTCTCAACTGAAATACAAGCCTGATGATGTTGTGTCGCAGCAAGTGGTGCTATTCGTGGTTAGGGAAACTCACGGTAAACAATTACCTACCCATTGATGATTAGACCGCTTAGTGTGAAGCATTTAATAAAGACATGCCTGATTGCTTCGGTGTCAGTTGGTTCTACTCGTGGTCGAATTGCAACCGTTTAGCCTGCAGAGCAAAAATCTTAAAATTGACGATTTTACGGAAACGGTCTTTCCTCAATATCGTTTGATTCAAAACTGGCAGGCCATTGATATCCCGGCATCGTGTTTCGCTCGTCGAGACACGTCGAATGATATTGTTAGACCTTAAAAAGTCATTTCAAAACCTTGACCTAAAGTCAAGATCAAGACCTGACCAGAAATGATCATGCTGCATTTCAGATGGTCCGTATCGTTGAGCTGTCACTCATCTCATTTCTAATCAGCAGTTTTTTACAATAACATTTTGATAGAGACCCGTAAGCTGCATTTATCAAAAGTTATTGTCAAAAAGCTGCCGGAGACTTTTCGTGACCTGATATGATCTCAAGAGCGTAAAGAGGGGTCACGGGTGCAATGTTCCGGTTCAGTGTGTCATGTCTGCCTGTTACCCGATATTTTAGGATGACTAGGATATGACTTAGGATATGACTTCCGGGGGCTCCCCTCCCCCCCAAAAAATGCATTTCAACATTCTCTCATTGACTTATAATTGAGAGGTAGCATACATTGTTGTTTTTTATCAATCTCTGAGCAGCCGTGGAAAGTTCAAAAGCGATCGTTCAATCGATGGATGTAGCTATGACAAGCATTAAAACTTCCCTTTTCTGAGTTATGTTCTGAGTTATGGTTCTGAGTTAGTTCTGAGTTATGGTTTTTTTACATGACCTGGTGACCTAACCTTGAGAGCCTCGTGCCTAAATTTTTAGAACATGTGCATGAAAAGGCGTCCTTAATACGGCGGCGGTCGGCGCCATCGTTTTTGAAATATCTGCGGAAACCGCAGGAGGGGCATGGGGCGTTCGAACACACCCCCCTCCCCGGCCTGGCGCGGGTTAGCCAGTCATAGGAGGGTAGGGTTAATTTGTTGACCCCGTTTGCTATATTGCCGTCGAATGGGTAGGTAGATTTTGCAGGAAAGCTAGAGGCATCGCAGAAGTATGAGGAAAATCTGCCCCCTCTCCCATCCTTGATAGCTTGGGAGTTCTTTGCGACCAAACGTCCACAGTCTCACTGATAATTGTTTAAATTAGAGGCAGCACTGGCTGCGGCTGGCGGTTGCGCGCCCGCCAAACCTGTCACTGAACAAGTGACCTTTACTGAGTAATTTCCGCGATCACATGGGTCAGCCATGACCCGCGTGCTCTGCCCTGTGTGTGGGCGGGAGATGGACCCATCAGCTCGACAGAAGACTGACAGACAGGAATATCCGCCCCGGCGGCCGCCTATAAAACGGTCCGATCGGCCCGAGTCGACGAGCCCTGCCGGCGCCGTGCGGTCCCCTCCGTCACCCCGGTCCATCCAGTCCCTCCGGTCCCGTGGTCCTCCGGTCCCCGTGGTCCTCCTCGACCGCCATGCTCCGTCCTGTGCTGCTGCTGGCCCTGGCGGCTGTGGCGGCGGCCGCCGGCACCTACCCGGGCTTCACGCTGAAGCCGGTGTTCTCAGAGATCGGCCTGCCGTCTCTGTACAAACCCCAGTACTCCCTCGGCGGTTTGTACGGATATCTGCAGCAGGCTGACATCCCGAAGACCCAGTTTGTGTCTCGCGTCCGCAAGTACGGACCCTACATCAGCCGTACCGTTCTGCCGCTTACGGTGAGTTTCAGATCCGCCAATTTACGGCGAGGTTTAGATCCCCCAACCCAAGTCACGGTGACTCGGAGATATTCAATTCAGTAAATGTAAAGTGTCAAACCGATACAGTCTCTGAACTAGGATAAGCATTCAGAATAAGGCGGAGGGAAGCAAAACAGGTAGAGAAAAAATAGGGGTGATGGAGGAATGAAGCTTTACTAGTCATCCCATGTATCACTACAGAATGATGCAACATATCCAGAATACCTGAGCCAACCGCATTATCTCATCAAACGTCCCGATTGGTGTTGACACCCATTTTAGGTCCTCTCCCCTAAAAAAACTGCCGAGGACGGCCATTAACCCGCGCCCGGCTGGGGGTCCTGGATTTCCACGCCCTGCTGGGGGGGGGGGTGTTTGAACACCCCCCCCTTGTAACTCGGCTCCTGGGCCACGTAGCGATACGCGGTAGGCGGCGTTCGAAAGAGCGTAAAAAATAATGACGAAATCACTTCAGTCAATTTTTTGGTCAGGTCAAAGGTCAGGTCACCAGAGGTCATTGAAGGCAAAATTTCGCCGATTTCCAGGTCGAAAGTCGAAAATTTCCAAGAAGCCAACGCATAACTCGGGAACCAATAGAGCTACAGCGCCGCGGAAAAGTGCATTCGATAGCCCTATTAACGCCCTTTCTGAGTAATTCTCTCAGATTTGACCTAACGTCAACGGTTTTGCCTGCAGGGGGCAAAAACTGCAAAAATAGCCGATTTTTTCGGAAACAGTTTTTCTGCAATAACTTTTGACCCAAGCCTTGTACGAGCTTACTTTTACCGGCATCGTGTTCCTCTCGTCAAGACGCATCGAATGAACTATAACTTGACCTTGAAAGGTCAACTTGAAAATTTGACCTCAGGTCAAGGTCATGACCTGACCGGAAAGGGTCATGTTGCATATCAGTCGATCCGTATCGTCGAGCTGAACACATCTAAGGCGTTTTCATCGCTCTAGCATGCCTCTATCAAAAGTTATTTGCGAAAAACTGCTAGATACCATTCGTGACCTAAGATGACCTCAGGGCACAAACAAGGGTCACGGACACCATTTTCATGTTCAGTGTGTCTAAAACACTTGTAATTCGGTGTTTGGGAGTGTTTATAATGTCTTTCGTCCAAAAGAGGCGCATTTCAATTTTCTCCCATTGACTTATAATGGGGAGGTCGCAAAATTGACCTGACCTTAGGTCATCGATATCAAAATTCTGAGATATACATTTTGTACATGCTATTGCTCTCAGCAATCGCTGAAAGTTTCAAAGCGATCGGTCACTCGGTGTAGCTATGACAGACATTGAAACTTTTTATGAGGTGAGGTCACTTCAAGTGACCTGGTGACCTGACCTTGAATGACCTTGGTCTGAAATTTTCACAACATGTGTAGAATTGATGTATGATAAGGTGTACCAAAAACGGCGGCGCTCCGCGCCGCCGTTTTTGAGATATTCGCGAAAAACCACAAGGGGGGGTGTTCAAACACCCCCCCCCAGCAGGGCGCGGGTTAATGTTCTATGGCCGACAGTCACCAACACCAGACCTGCCTCTATCTGCGCAGTGTTGGTGGTTCTGCACAATAGTGCACTTTGTGGGCAGGCTAACGGGGTAAGCCAAGCTGCAAGCTGCACCCCATCTTGCGACCATGGGATACCAAGGCAGACGCAGTGGCGGCGGAAGCAGGGGGGCAAGGGGGGCAGCTGCACCCTAAAGTTATGGAAAGGGGCGCCTCGAAAATCTGTAGAGGAGGCAGGAAGTTAAGAGGTGCGGCAGCCATAAAGCTGAGCAGTGCGAGGCGACACCGCAACTGATTTTTTTTTTTTATAAATTTAGTCCGAACCTTTTGATGGGAAGGATTCACAAGGACAGAGCCACCGCTAAGCGAAGCTTGTTGCGATGACCCTGCCCTCTACCCTCCGATCGCGCAATTCCGATTCTATGGCAGAATTTAGAGTCCAAAGTTTTACGTGCGCACAAAGCTGCGCACGGCCGGTCCCCTCGCTGACTTCTCCTGGTTACGGCCTGCCACCAACCGCAACCATACCTGTCAGGAGGCCCATAAATTTCGAGCGCCCGTCGCGCTTCGAACCCGGACTGTCATAACCGGGAACGCGTGCTCTCACCACGCGGAGTCCAACGCTCTAACCAACTGAGCTACGGGACCGGCTATAAAGGCACTTGTGACACGAAGAGGGTGGCAATGACGTGGGAAAAGTATCTTTTGATATGCTGAAGAGTGGAGGGCATCCTTATCTGAAACAAAGGCAGATGCTGCCGACCCTGTCGAATATAATCTTGCCAGGCGATAAAGGCTAGGAGGGCGCAGCCACTCGAGAAGCGCGCCATGCGGAAGAGGGGCGCATGCATGCGAAAGAGGGGTGCCTGTGTGTGGGACGAAAAAGAAACATTTATGGAGACGTCTTTGAAGGCGATAGCTTCCGAACGCCAACACGAACATATGAGGGCTTGTAGCGTTGCAGGCTCCATGCGACAAAAAGGGGCGCCTGATGGCCGATATGCGAGAGGAAATTAGTTTGTGTAACATCTATCGGGGGCGGTAACTGCAATAGTGCAGTGCAGGCCAGGCGGCATGCTGCTTACCGGCCTGCAATTCTCTGTCACCGAGTTAGTGTTATGGATTCGGCGCCTTATTCACTAGTCCACACGAAGGTATTGGAACCGTGGAACTCTTTTCGATATGCCTTATTCGGAGAATCTTATGATATGGTGATGAGGTTGTTTCTAAACGAACATTATGAAGGTTACATTTACGCTATGGAATGTACCTAACTATTTCTCGTTACATAAAAACTGTAATTCTGAACGCGTTAACAGGTACAACACATTGTCAAACGTCTCTTCACTGTTTGTGTTACTACAACCGTGTATATGGTAAGGGGCGCCCAGCGGGAAGGGGCGCTTCAATAGGGGAAGTTGGGGCAATGCCGGAGTTGGGGCAAAGCCGAAATTCGAGATATTTCGAAAACCGTAAGACATGGATGCCACCTGTCAGTGATGCTCTGAGGCTTAAAGGGACCCTCCCACCTTCAAAAAAGTTAACGAATTGGCATGAAAGTGATGTCGCTCGGTTCAGAAGGAGCGAAAACGAATATCTACCAAATTTTATCGAAAAATATTCACCGGTTTTCAAGATATTAGACTTTTACTTTTGTTTACTTTTTGGGACCTCCGCTGTTCCTAGCGACTTTATTTGAAAGTGCGGCATTTGTTGCGCGCAAAGCAGCATATACCACCGCGTGCTACAAAACGTTTTAGTCAAACATTTAACGGACGTTCGAAAGCCTGATGACGTCATCAGATTCCCGTAATGGTTAAGAGATAGGGACCACGCTGGTCCCACCCTGCAAGTAAAGGGAAGAAATTCCTTGAACACCATAAAGCTGCGGGGGTTGCGACCAGGATAAATGGTGGTTTCTGAGCCTGGCCGCAAACTTGGCTATCTCAACTCAAAACTAATGTTAAGGTGGGAGGGTCCCTTTAAGTGACTACAATTATCGCATGTTTGTTACGAGTCGTCATTCGGAATACTTCGGCTGTGAGGGCGCCAAGAGCGTTTTCAAGGTACGCGTTCCTTGTACTACATGCGCCTTTGAAGCTGCATTTCTTACTCATTATGCTACCGTTTGTCTGGCCAATTCGGTCAAGTAATCTTCAGCATGTCTTTGCATAAGTGTGCTGCCTATTTGAAATTTATACGGCACGTTGAAAAGTTATGGGCTTGCAAATGAAAGTATGGCTGGCTGGGGTAATGCCGAAAACGTGCAATTACGCACGTTAAAGCACGCTACGTGGACTTTACTGCTGTAGAATAGCAACGCGAATTTTTAGTCACACAAATTACACTTTCAACCGACACAACGGCCTGTTACCTATAAGGAATTATTTACCTGGCATTTTCTTATTATATCAAACAATTATAACTTCCAGTGTGCACCAAGCGTCCTCAAGCTCTTAAAACGCGTGTCAGCTTTGATAAATTCTGGATAAAGTTTGAGATAAAGTGGCAAAACATCAATGTCGGCATTCCCCGTAGATCATTTCTCCCATTTTCGGCTTTCCCCGCAGTCCGGGGCAACGCCGAAAAAGTCACTTCTTTGATATCTTTAGTTTGTGCGCTTAACGGTATGCGAATTCATCAAATGCGCCTGGTATGTTTGAAAGGCAAAAGACTGGCCTCTCGAATGACGCCAACAAGAATAGCTTATGTTGTCTACCTTGCGTGCTACGGGCGTCAGAAAAAAAGTATTCGGCGTTCCCCCAACTTCCCCTATCGTTTGCACCCCTATCCTAGAATACCTTCCGCCGCCACTGGGCAGACGCGGCACCACGGGTCGACCAGGGACCCAGTCTGTGTCACCCGGACCCGCGGTATTCACCGGTATTCCCTTCGAAATTCTTATTTCTGTCATTTACTTATGTTGCGAGCATCAAATGAAAATCAGTTCGTGTCTCATTGGCACGCTTCACCATGATCATTGATCAAGACCCCTTCAAAACAACAGTAAAATTAATGTATGGAGCGAAACAGAGCTGTTGTGTCAAGCATAGCCACCTACTGGGAAGCGTAAAGACACTTCGCGAAATTGCCTTCATTAAAGTACATACATAGTGCGAAGGAATGTGCTTCATATCTCATTCGCGTCCGTATAAATTCATGCAATGTTTCATCTTGACTAAGTGCTGCATGGGTGTCAAGCGGTAAATACTTGAAGTCTTCGATTGTTAACCCTCGCCCTGGCAGGGCATTTTTCATAACACGGCCTGGCAGGGGGGGGGGTCGATGCGACCCCCCCCTCGCGATTGGCTCCTATGGCACCTAGAAACACTAAGTTTGGTAGGTAGGTGGGCCCCCTGGGGTTCTCGCCCCTGTGCAAATTTGGTTGCTCTAGGTCAATATTTAGGGGGGGTTTGGGGGGTATAAATGTAAAAATTTCGCTAAAACAGGTCAAAAGTTTTTCGCTTATAACTTTTGATCCAATTAAGATAGAGCAAAAAGAAAAGCACCAGTGAACTCAGCACGTCAAGGCGCGTCGAATGATATACTTTGTAGCTTGCTTAAGTGTACTTAAAGTTTTTCTTAAATTTTAAGTAAACTTAAATTAATAAATTAAGTTCAAGTTAACCAAATTGCATCATATCGCATATCATTCGATTCGGCTGATCACCAGGAACACAATGATACCATTTTTTAAGCTCTAGCGTCATTCTGTGCCAAGTTATTGACAAAAACGTCATTTGACCTCAGTTGACCTCACTTGACCTGACCCATGGATAAGTACACCAAACAAAGAAGCACCAAGTGACCTGCTGTTAAGTACTGTGGTTTCAAAGCACAAAAGTGATAGAACGAAGCGGATATCTCCAGTATTTTCCGAATTTAGTATTTTCCCATAGGCTTAACATTACGACGTAATGACCTCTAACTGACCTCAGGTCAGTGACCTCAAAAAACCCGAACTATATGTTATACAACTCGGTGAACTTAGCACATCCTGAAAGTTTGAAGGAAATCAGTCCAAAACTGTGAGTTGGACAGGTGCAAAAAGAAAATTGAAATTTGACCATGACCTTGTACCGGTTTTCTGACCTGTTGACCTGACCCAAGGTCACCCGGACCTGAAATTTTCAGGTCATATGTAAAAAGTTTGCCCCATAGGCTGTGCCAAATTTGGCGGCGCTGCGCGCCGCCGTTTTTACGGTATCTTCGAAAAACCTTAGGGGGGGTCGCATCGACCCCCCCTGCCAGGGCGAGGGTTAAAATGTCACCCGGAAAATGGCTGACGGCTCACGCCACATCTTTTTCTAATGATCTTTCACGGTGTGGGGCTCTTTCTTTCCCTCGGCACAGCACCCTTGGACGGCAATTATTCATGAGAATTTTAATCAATCACTTTTGAAAATTATTGCAAACACGCATTGAACGAAATGAGCTATATTCTTTAAGTTTCTCAGTGCTTGTGCGAGGATCATATTAAAGCATTTTGATTAATGATTAATGACCTTACCCTCGTAGTTTGAAAAAGTTAGATCAAAACACTTGTTTATTAATAATTTCGAGCACAGCTCTTCATCAGAATACAAAGCTAAAAATGTCACGATAAAAATCCAATCTTTGACAGTCAAAGATTGGATTTTTATCGTGACATTTTTAGCTTTGTATTCTGATGAAGAGCTGTGCTCGAAATTATTAATAAACAAGTGTTTTGATCTAACTTTTTCAAACTACGAGGGTAAGGTCATTAATCATTAATCGAAATGAGCTATAAGTGAAAAACAGTCATCAGCTCTGCGGTGCTAGGCAGTTACGCACACGCAAAATAACGGCTAAGCATGAAGCATTTACCCAAAGGCCAACCAAATTTTTCTCACCTGCGCGCTTTTTGTTTCGTTCCTTACAACGAAACTTCTCTGTTCGACAATTGTTTGTCACAGAGCGGTCTCCACCTTTTGGCTGGATGATGACTGTAATACTCGACCAGTTTGTGCTCGAGCGAAGCGCTTTTGCATCGTGTCTCGAATAATGATGTCAGTTACAGAAAATCGTGATACCGATACCAAACCAAATGCCCACAATACCCATGGAAAAAATAACGAAACCGAACCAACTTGGGAATATGAGGGAAATACCAACGTTTTACCAATATTCGGACCCTTGTTCACTAGTGAGGGTTCATAATATCAACAAAATACCAAATGCATTCGCCTTGAAATACCAAAAAGTAAAAACCAAGTTGGAAATGTAAAAAATGTAAAAACATGACCTTATTTCCTCGATAATTGCCAAAACTAATGCTGTACAAATATATACTTTATTTGAAAGATGTAATATTTCGACCACAGGTCTTTTTCAAACAGTTTCAAATTAGAAAAGATAGCATTTCCATTTGCCGCATTTCCAACTGCCTTTCAACAAAAATCTATGGTTGAATCGTGCCCACTAGCTCACTCGCACCACTCATGAAATATTTGGCTAGCAAAAATAGCATCACATAGGTCACGTATTTTTCAAAATACGTAGTTTCAGCCGTACGAGATAAGTAAGTATTAACATACCGACTGACCATAACACAAAACATCCTACAGGCCTTCGCCATTATTTCTCACAATTTCGTCCAAAGTCACCCAGCTGTCTACAAGGCATAACAGATGCAGCATGCCAGCAACTATCATATGCTGTCCAGTGTCCAGGCTTTTACACATTTACGTGTCTATCCGTCCAGTATTCACATAACACCGTAACACCAGAATGGAATACAAAGAAAGCAAAGATGGGCATAATTGGCATACTCGCATTAACATACCTATAGCGTTCAATGCCATAACATATAGCGTTCGATGCCCATAATCAAAAACACACATAGTCTGCACCCTCCCCCCTCCCACACACACACAAACACTATCTAGCTTTGAACGCGTGAACATACGCAGTACCTAGTGCACAGTACATATACAGTACACATTTACACATACATCGGCGTTGTTCCTAGCATTGTTTACCTTACAAAATAGGCCAAGACGATACATTACTGTTGAGTTCCGGACGGTTCTTTCTTATCAGCAGCGATTCAGCTATTTTACGGTCTGGATGGTCTTTAGACTTGTACAATATTTTAATTTTGAGCGGAGCAGACGTCCCATCTACGATACTGTCACCGTGTTTCTCCGTAAAGTGATCACCCAACGGAGTGTCAGGGGTCCTGTTGGTCATGTCGCGCACGTGTTCATTGAACCTGAGGCGCAATGGCCGTTTTGTCTCTCCGATATAAACACCTTCCCTGTCATTTCCCCCGCAGATCCCACACCTGATTTCATATACCACATTTTTCTGAGTGCAATTTATCTTTTCTAATTTGAAACTGTTTGAAAAAGACCTGTGGTCGAAATATTACATCTTTCAAATAAAGTATATATTTGTACAGCATTAGTTTTGGCAATTATCGAGGAAATAAGGTCATGTTTTTACATTTTTTACATTTTCTACTATTTATGAACATGTTCCTCGCACAAGCACTAACCTCATTAAAAAACCAAGTTGGTATCGGTTTGGTATCGGTATACCAAAGAGTTGGTATCCGATTGACATTGCCAGTCTCGAACGTGTCCGCTGACATTTCTGAGCTGTCTCTTACAATCGCTCATCCTGGTCAGACATCCAGCTGACACTTCCTCCGTCGACATGTTGCAGAAGCAATACAAGGGCGTGCTGGCGGACCTTCTGCAGCTGGCGGTGGTCCGCTACTACGGCTGTGAGCCCGTCATCAACAAAAAGGTCCCGCTGTCCACCTACTTCGGACGCTACGTCAAGAAGACCAAGGTCTGTGGGCTTGTGGTGTATCCCCGATCAGCGCTTGGGGCTGAGTAGTTTCCTGGTTCGCCGAAGAGCAGGGTTCTTTATTTGCAGTGATCTCTAATCCATCACGAACGCAGTGCTGCAAATTGCTGGGACTCAGTTTGTGAGATAAGAGGAAAAATCAGATAACGATGAGATAGCGACGGGGAACAAGTTCTCCCATTCTTTCTACCAATCATAACTTCAATTCATGGCCTTACCACTGTTCTGCACCAATATCACATTAGCTCTCTGTTGCATCTTCGACGAGCAAATCTCTTGACATCACTTCATATTATTCGCACAGATTCCATCGCCGTACCGCTACAACACCAAGTACGTACGGACTTTCCTTGATGGCTTTAAGGTCTACCTGCGCCGGCATCTGCAGCGGCCGCAGAAGATCTCGATCCCCAGCCTTCCTCCCAAAGACATCTTCCCCATCTTCCCCGTTCGGCCTCCCAAGCCCTCCTACCCCGGGTACGAGATCCTGGCCACGCTGAAGAGCCTTGGACTGCCGCCCCTGGTCAACCCTAGGGCCTCTCTGGGTGGCATCGTCGCCTACTTGAAGGTGGTTGGAGTCAGCAAGACTACCTTCATCAGCCGTATCCAGGTCTACCGCCAGGCCATCATTAAGGTCGTGCTGAAGTACAAGGTAAATGTCTGCTTGATGTGAGACTTGAATATGATGAAGGCCACACATCGCGCTATAGCTTACATGACTGAACAGACTGAATAACTCGTGTGTAGTGAGATTCAAAGTGTCTCTTGTTTAGTTATTTTGACAGTCAGTATCTAGAGAGAAAACGCCTAGTCTTGCACGGACGTACTCAAACTCTCGTTCTGACGTTTGAGCTTTTTGTTTCAGAAAATCTACACGGGCTACAGGCTGGACCTTCTCCAAGTGGCCGCTCTCCGCTACTATGGCCTCAAAAAGAACACCAAGTACGAAGTTAGCTTCGGCTACGCTCTGCGCAAGATCCTCAAGGTAAGATCCTATGTTTCAGCGCTTTAGTATTCTAAACCAATCTGAAGCAAAGCAAGGAGGCTGCTTCTGTATATTGAAAACTGCAATGCGACATACAGGGTGTCCCAAAAGTAAGGTCATGATTTAAAACTTAAATATCTCGAGAAGTAAGAGTCCGAATCACTTCCAATTTTAACACGTGCAAGATACATCCATAAAATTATTTTCTTGCATGCTTAAACCATTTTTGATCATAACTACACCGAGCAGTAGGCATAAAACTGAGAAGGTCGAAATTCAACTCTTAGAGAGGGTCCGTCATTAAAACAAAGGGTAAATACCGCCTAGTTTTCGGCCCTAAGCAGACCCTATCAGCTCGCCCTATCTCTGAACTCATGCATAGTTTCGTCTCAACCGGTAAAACGTCAGAAAAAAAGGTAAAATGTACGCACAGGGCATGTATACTTAGCCACCTGTGCTTCGAGGTCCTGAGGACGACAGCGGGAATCGGGTGAAAATAAATCAAGAGAGGTGGCCGAGAGTCCTCCCAGTGGTTCTTCCGCTCGTCGCAACGCAGCTGTGCCGACACCATCAACCAGCAGTGGTTTCAGCAGGATGGAGACTATGCTTGCACCGTCCTGAAGATCATGCATTGTCTCCGAGAGTGGATGTGAGATCGCGTAATTTTCAGTCAGGGCAACGCCATTGAATGGCCTCCGCGGTCACCTGACGTTACACCTTCATATTTTTATTCTCTGGGTACACAACGGAAAGGTTGTCTTTTAGGACAACCCAACGAGCCGGGAAGAACTAAAGGATGATCCCTCCGAGCAAACATAAGCGGCATCTCACCAGAGAATCGCTCCAGAATAGTGGAGGAAGTAAAACGCAGTCTATTCGTGCACGCGGCCCGAAATGGTAGCCATGCAGAAAAGCAGCAAATGTGGGGCTACGAGCCAATGTATTGACTCATACGTATATCAGAATAAAGTTTTATAAAATGCTCTTTCATATGATGTCCTATTTATTTCTATCCATCGCGTATTTTTGGCGGTGTGGCCAAAACAAATGATGACCTTACTTTTGGGACACCCTGTAGTCATCTCTTTTCTTTTGTAAAGAGTCTCATTCGCCATTTCAACATTCATGGGAAACCCTTACCTAAAACCCTGAAATCAGATGTGGGACTTAACCTACCTAAGGTGCGTTTCTCTTTGATGCGCCACAAGTTTTACACCACAACATGCGGCGTCTGACTCCCCCATTTCTTCCAACAGCCTTCCATCAGGATCAAGTACAGCGTGACCTACGTGAGGCAATTCTTGGTCCGCTTCAGCCGCGTCCTTGTCGCAGTCCCGTATCCCGGCTACAGTCTGCTCCCTGTCCTGCGCGGGATCGGTCTGCCCAAGCTGTACCGACCCAAATACACCCTCGGAGGTATTGTGGCCTACCTGAAGATCAAGAAAATCAGCCAGGTTGCATTCATCGCGAGGATTAAGAAGTACAGACTGAAGATCAAAAAACTTGTTCTGAAGTATAAGGTAAATGCAAATAAAATTATGGTTGTCTTTCCTGAAAGCTGGGATTGGCAGTGTATGTATTACTATATAAATATTTTTGCAAAACAATCATTATTATTGAAACAAATATCATTGATTGAATGTACACGTAAAATGTAACTTACGCGCTTTCGTTCCACTTCCGAGGTAGAAACTTCTGTTTAGAACCGTAAAGGGTATGCCCTCCGCTTGCCGATGACATGCATGTTTATGGCCGATTTAATCGTGTGTAGTGAGATTCAAAGTGTCTCTGGTTTTGACAGTCAGTTACAGAGAAAATACCTAGCTGTGCCTTGTACGGGCGCACTCAAACTCTCGTTCTGACGTTTGAGCCTCTTGTTTCAGAAAATCTACACGGGCTACAGGCTAGACCTTCTCCAAGTTGCCGCTCTTCGCTACTATGGCCTCAAAAAGAACACCAAGTACGAAGTTAGCTTCGGCTACGCTCTGCGCAAGATCCTCAAGGTAAGTGCAAACCTATGTTTCAGTGTTTTCGTGTTTTAAATCAATCTAAAGCAAGGCAAAAAGGTTTCTTCTGTATATTGATAGCTGCACTGTGATAACTTTCTAATAGAAAGTCATACCTTTTCTTTTGTAAAGACTAAAGAGTCGCATTCACTATTTCAACATTCATAGGGAATGACCTTACCTAAAACCCTCAAATAACCCTCGCCCGTATAGGGGGGGGGGGGGGGTCGAACGGACCCCCCCCCCCATGGTTTTTCGCGAATAACTCGCGTAAAAAGCAGCCGATCGCGGCGAAACTTTCAGTACCCTCGCGTTCATCAATTTCACACCTACCCGGAAAATTTCATGACCCTGACCCAAATGACCTTTGACCTGTGACCTACTTTTCGAGACCATGTTTGGCTGGAATCGCGATTCGGCGTATGTCGGCTCGCATCAGCCGCGCGTTTGCAGTCTTTTCGTGGTTCCAAGCGTTCAAACATGTGTTATGATGTTGCTTCCATGCATTAGGGTGGGTGTCAAGGTCACCTGAAGGTCAGGTCAGGTCATTGACCTTTGATGACCTCGGTTCACTCTTTTCGAGTTTTACATGTTTCTAGGCCAGTTTTTGGAGCTGAATTCAAATTTAGCAACCATATGAACATTTACGAAGTAGTTTTGGTGCCTTCGTAACATGTTACGAAGCTGTCAGAGGCGGTTGCCACCTACTACGAATACCCTTACTGGTTGACCTGACCTGACCTGACCCGACCTGGTCTAAATACATGAAAACATCATCTGTGATCAAAACTAACATGATATTCGCGATCAGCACCCCGAAAAACCCCATAGCAGCCACACTTTACGACGTTCTAACAGGTCCCGATTTTCCCGCCTTTAGGGTCATTGACCTGACCTGCAAGGTCAACCAATGACCTTAAAATTGGGTATCATCGGCTTCCTCTCGTCACGGGCAACACGCTCGTTTTTTCCGCAAAGCTCTAGCTCGATCAGGGGCGAAACGGCAAGGGGGGGTCCAACGGACCCCCCCCCCTTATACGTTCGCGGCTGGAAAAACACCAATACGGGCGAGGGATAAGATATGGGGACATTACCTACTAAGGTGCGTTTCTCTTCGACGCGCCACAAGTTTTGTACCGTTGCATGTGGCGTCTGACTCCCCATTTCTTCCAGCAGCCTTCCATCAAGATCAAGATCAGCGTGACCTACGTGAGGCAGTTCCTGGTTCGCTTCAGCCGCGTCCTGGTCGCAGTCCCGTACCCCGGCTACAGTCTGCTCCCGGTCCTGCGCGGGATCGGTCTGCCCAAGCTGTACCGACCCAAGTACGCCCTGGGAGGTATTGTGGCCTACCTGAAGATCAAGAAAATCAGCCAGGTTACATTCATCGCGAGGATTAAAAAGTACAGACTGAAGATCAAGAAACTTGTTCTGAAATACAAAGTAAGTGCAAAGAAAGCGGCAATTTTGCAACAGTTAAAACTGGCATTGGAAATTTTGCAAATATGTACAAATATGCAATGTTATTTGATGAATGCAGCATTGGTAAAATGTCGATTATGAACTTGTATATCAAGTTATGTAGGTAGGAGCTTTTATTTAGAAACTTGAAGGATGTGAGCTCCTTTTTTCAATAAACATGATATTACATGTTTATGATCGTTTAAAGTGGCTGTTGGCTTTTAGAGCTTGGATGACCTTTGCGATAACAGCATGCAATTCTATTTCATCGCAGAGGCAGTACAAGGGCTACCAGCTGGACCTCGTGCAGATTGCCGCCCTTCGCTACTACTGCATCTCCAAGAAGTCGAAGTACTCAGTCAGCTTCGGATACGCTCTCAAGAAGACTATCAAGGTATCAGGATGAATAATACATGCAGTCCATTATCGCGGGCGTGAAACTTTGTATATTAATTTAGCAAACGTCAGCAGGACACAAAGGAGTATTGAATTTTACAGTTTCATTTCTCTAATGGGATTGATACGATAAAGACTTAGACGCGTCAAATTCCACATACCGTCAGCAATTGTTCCTGGGGAAAGCATTTCACTGTCTCATATTTATATGTTCCTAACAAAACGAAAATGCGGCATGGAAACGAATGACAAAATTCCAGGAAGTTCACTAAATGAACAGTCGCAAAGCGTTCGCGAGACAAAATCTAATTTGAAAATGGGTGATACGTTTCAATAGTTCAAGGCCGTCGTTCACGACGGAATGCTGGCATTTTAATCGGTGGGACGTTACGTACCGGGAGTTCCTAAATAAACAGTCGAATTATTTTTGCTTCTAGTGGCGTCAACTAACAAAATCACAACAATCAAATTGCACGTGATGATAGCACGTGCAATGCCATTTTATTTCATACCAAAATCAATCACTTTCTATCATGCAGCCGTATAGTACAGACATAAAAACAAAAATAGTACATTTCTATTTTGAGACAAAGTCAATCGTTGCAACACAACGTAAGCTACGCCGACACTTAAAAAGGACCCAAGTGCCATCAAGAACCGTCATTTTAAGTATAGTTGAGAAGTTTTTGGCAAGAGGTAGTGTGGAGAACGTAAAAAAGGGTAAATGTGGCCGAAAAAGAACCAAGAGGACGCCTTTAAACGCCCAAAAGGCACGAGAAGCCCTCCAGAGGAGCCCACAAAAGTCGCTCAGACGGCTGGGCCAGGAACTGGGCTGTAGCAAAACCACCGCTCACCGTTTGGCCAGAAACGACGTTCAGCTGTTCCCGTATAAGGTCTCCGTTCACCAAGCACTGTCGAAAGTCGACAAACAGTCACGGCTTCTTTACAGCGGCTGGTTTTTGAGAAATTGCGAGCAGGACAATGAGTTCCTTCACCGAATCTGGTTCAGCGACGAAGCCCATTTTCATATGGATGGCCGCGTGAACTCCCAGAATTTTCGATTCTGGTCGACGGAGCCACCCGATTTGGTCGCGGAAGCCCCTCTGCACAGTGTGAAGTGCACAGCCTGGTGTGCAATGAGCAGCAGTGGCATAATCGGACCTTTCTGGTTTGAGAACGACGCTGGGGAGTCTGTCACCGTCAACGCTCAGCGCTACCGGCAAGTCCTAGCCAAGTTCTGGACTGCGCTGAACAGGCGGCTGGGTGGAGACAGGCAGCTGATGGACCAACAATGGTTCCAACAAGACGGAGCCTCGGCGCACACGGCCGTTGCGACTCGAGAATGGCTGCGGAACCGATTCGGTTCGCGGGTTATCTCCCGCAGAGAGGTGCGGACCTGGCCCCCGCACTCTCCGGATCTGACCCCACTTGACTTCTTTCTCTGGGGTCACCTGAAGTCACAGGTCTACAAAAGCAACCCCAGAACCACAGATGACCTCAAGAGGGCCGTGTCGTCCGCGGTGCGCCGAGTGCGGCCGGAGATCTGCCGGGCTGCGGTGGAGTCCGCTCGGCGACGCGCAGAGCTGTGTGTGGAGCGAGAGGGGGCTCATCTGGAACACGTCCTCTGTGGCCGCAAATGAAGAGACAGCAAAAAGAAGATGGTATCACGTGAAATGGCATCGACTATTGTGTATGTTAGAAAGTGATTCGTTTTTGTCATGCCTTCCATGCTGATAATATACAGCTTTTACATACGACTGTTTATTTAGGAACTCCCGGTAAGATAGCTATGGCATTGACATTTATCTTCAACTGTCAAATTCATGATAAATTTAGTCCATATAGCCTACGATTTACACTGATGGAGATATCTATGTATCGACAGCTTTCAATCAGGCAGAAGTACAGCATCAAGTACGCGCGAATCTTTCTGGAGCGTTTTAGCAAGGTCCTGGTCACGCTGCCGTACCCTGGCTACAACCTGATCCGCGTCTTCAGAGGCATTGGACTGCCGAAACTGTACAGGCCCAAGTACAGCGTTGGAGGACTTGTTGCCTACTTGAAGGTGGTCAAAATCAAGCAGGTGACCTTCATCAGTCAGATCAACAAGTACAGCACTTCTATTCGGCAGCTGGTTCTGAAGCACAAGGTAAGTTTTACTTTTCATATCCTATTAATACTTCCTACAGCAGCCAAAAAAAAAAAAAATATAGCTAAGAAGTAAGATAACGCGATGTTTTTCTTTCTTTAGCGTGAAAGTGTATGTAAGTGCGAATTCTTAGACGTTTACTCTGATTGGGCCTAATTACTTTCGCTGCTAAAAATTGTGCATGCCTTCGGCCAACGTGTTTGAGTTTCGTGAAACCGCACGCCAGTGATTCGTGCCTAGCGCGCTCCGTACAGAGCTCCGTATAAGGGCCCCGTAGAGCCCTTGTGACGTGTGGCAAACACATCTGTCGTTGCAGAAGCAGTACTCTGGATTCCGCGTCGACCTGCTGCAGCTGGCCGCCCTGCGGTACTACGGAATTAAGCAGGACTACTCCGTGAAATTCATCGTCGCCTTCAGGAAGGCTCTGGTAGGTGGACGCTGCTCGTCATTAAGATAAAAAAGATCTTATGGTGCTAAGACTGAGATGAAATTTTTTCGTTGAGGGTTATATGACAGATGGCTCAACTATGATACCTATAAAGGTCAGCCAATGAGATGGATATGAGATATCAACAACATCTAATGCCCCAGCTGCCTGGTTTTAGCTGATGTCCACCGAAAACACACCGTTTCTCTTTTTTCGCAGGTTCCTTCGTTCAAGATCAGCACACGCAGCATCAAGGCCTTCCTCGTCCGCTTCAGCAAGTACCTGCTGAAGCCGGTTTACATCAGCCCCGTCTACAAGCCTCGTCCGGCCACCTACCCGGGCTACCAGCTGAAGCCCCTGCTAACCACCGTGGGCCTGCCGAAGCTGACCAAGCCACAGTACTCTCTGCCCGGCCTGGTGGGATACCTGCAGAGTAACAAGTACCCGCTGCCGTCCCTTGTAGGACGCATCCAGAAATACGGACCCAAGATCAGGTCGACCGTCTATCGCTACAGGGTGGGTTGTGGGCCCACTGGCGAGCGTTACGCCAGTTTTACCGAAATTCACACTTCAATATTTCTTCCGACTGAAAAGCTGCAACGTTGCTTTTGAAAATTTTGCATTGTACATGTCTCATCTTTCAAAGAAGCATATCCATTAGTGATGGGAAGGGTATACATTAGCTGTTTTCACGACGACTTATGTATTTGGGTAACATATGGTGCAGATCTTGTCAAATTAGGTTCATTGTTTTCTCAAATTTCATTCAAAGTTCAAATTCAATTTCATTCAATTCAAAGTTCATTGATTTGGTCAAATTTGGTGCATTTGCCAACTAACCCGTCCCGAAAACGACGTGTAGAGCTGTGTAGCTCCAAGACCGCCTCACCACTAAGCGTTTTCGTTCCAGCCGAACTACTCGGGAGTCCTCACGGACCTGCTGCAGCTGTGTGCCATCCGCTACTACTCGCTGCCCCTGGTCATCAGGAGCAACGTGGGCTTCGGCAGCACCTTCCAGCGCTACATCCGCTCGCAGGTCAGTGCACTCTGCAAGAACGTAGGGATAACGCTGGTCTAAAATCACACATGAACGCTTACATGCGGACATTTGTAAGCTCCGGCACTGATAGGTTGTGTCACATTCGGGTGTTCTGGCACTGATAAGAATCATTTGAACGCTTACAAACATTTTTATCTATCTTCATCTTTAATTAGTTAGGAGCTCTACCTTATCACTGACGCGTGGCCAGTGGCCACACTGGCTGTGTGATAATTTTGATTGTCGACAACATTTACACCTAGGGCGAAGGCCTCAACAAACGACTTTCGCTCATCACCTTCGGGCTAGAGTGACATCATATAGTCTGTTTTACTATTGCTTGCTATCCCATATAATTCATATTTGTACATTTGATGTGTACACAACTGAGTTTCATTTTTTAAGTATAGGTTTGATGACTTTTTTTTGCATTGAAATAAGAAATTAAAGTACTCTCTCTCTCCTCTCTCTCTCTCTCTCTCTCTCTCTCTCTCTCTCTCTCTCTCTCTCTCTCTCTCTCTCTCTCTCTCTCTCTCTCTCTCTCTCTCTCTCTCTCTCTCGCTCTCTCC